AGAAGCAGACCCTGAGCAAGGACTCAGTGCAAGGGGTTTGTTAAGGACATATGGTCAGGAGAAACAAGTAACTAAGGGAAGTATGACTAGGAAAAGAAAAGGCCAAGGTAGACAGAAAACTCAAGTAGATAGATAGATTTTATTTAAAAAATATATAAATACAGAATTTATATGTAAATGCAAAATATAGAGAGAGAGTTTCCCCCTAGATTAGCTTTTTCCTTTTCCCAGCCACACTTCTCTTAGTCTACTAAATATATAGAGATACTGATTGAATGAAAACAAGTACCAAAGAAGAGACCAGAACCCTGCCAGGAAAACGAACCATTCTCTTACTTGAGCTTCAAGGTGAACCAGTGTGAAAGGCATGTACTTTAGTAAGAAATAAAGACTCAAAGGTGCAGGTGTAGGGCGAGATGTCTCAGACTGCACACGCTGGAGTCTGGCCTGAACCACCGACGCTCTCTCTCTTTCCTCTATATTAAGCCACACTGTCCAAACGTAAAGATAATAGAAACATGAAGAGGCCATCAACAACTCTGCTTAAATTTGTTCCTTTCTAAAAACAATCCAGTTTGGGATTATGCAGTAAAATTCAGGATGTTCTTAACTGAAAGAAAAATATGGGCATTTGGACACATTTCAAATTTTGCCTCTGGGCCTGTCTGGAGATAAAATCCTCAGCTTCTCCTCAGCCTTCTAAAACATGTTTAAAACTGCCCTATCAGGCTGAGGAAATTAAATGTTTGAATAGATCATTTTAACGTATAAGAGAGTGAATAAAACAGGATCCCTAAAATCAAGCTAGAAACAGTGTAGCTAAGTAGAGAGGCAAGTAATTAATATAAATGTGAATATGCTGCCAGGTGCCAGTGGCTCACAAGTGTAGTCCTAGCTACTTAGGAGGCAGAGATCAGGAGGATCGCAGTTCAAAGCCAGCCCAGGCAAATAGTTTGTAAAACCCTGTCTCAAAAAACCATATCACAAAAAATTGGGCTGGCAGAGTGGCTCAAGGTGAAGATCCTGAGTTCAAGCCCCAGTACCACAAAAAAAAAAAAAAAAGAAAAGAAAAAATTGAAAATTCTAAATAAGCTAGAAAATAAATTCTGGAGGTGGATGGTAGTAATGGTGGCACAACAATGTCCATGCATGAGATACCATTGAACTGTATGCTTGAAAATGGTTAACATGATAAAAAGGAAATACATAGTATGGGAGCCCATTGAAGAAACAGCCTCTGGTTGGGGAGTCTAAGAAGTTTCATGGAGGAGATAATATTTGAGCTAGAATTTAGAGAACAGGAACAATTGGACTTTAATAGTCCAAAATAGAGAAACACGTCAAGCTGAGGGACCAGCTGAACAAATGCCCAGAAGCAGATATGAGGACACAGCCATGGATGTTTTGTTCTGGCAGCACAGATTGCATTGAGAGCCGGCAAATAAGGAAGGCAGAGCCATAGCCGTGGTTGCCCTCTACCAGAGAATTCAGCCGGATCCCCAGAGATCAGGAGTCAGCTAGTCCTGAAAGTGCCATGGGTCATTTGTTAAGCATTATGGAGACAAGGCAGTCACTGAAACAGTATTATCAGTCCCGTAACAGCAGCTCCAGAGCCTGAATGAAGGAAATGGCGATGAGGAAGAAGAGGGACAGACACACAGCAGAGGCACTGGAGAAGCAGGAGCGTCCGTGTGTCTGGAGTATCTGTGTATCTGGGTGCTAGGGAAAGGGCACAGGACTAACTGTTCTGCTGGGTTTTGAGAGCCTTTTTTTCCTGTTAAAACTTGGACACTCATCCTCATTCCAAAAAGAAAAATAACAAATGATCAAAAGCACATCCCTCCATCACCTGCCAAGAGGATTTTCTGGACCAGGGATGCCTGGAGGCTGTGTGACCTTGAACACCTTCTTTTCTTACCTGCTTGCTCATTCTCGGGTGGGAAACCATTCCAGTAGCTTCACTTCATGGACTTGTGAGCTTGGACGGGGATTCCTAGTAGAGTAAGCAATTATACCAGAAATGACGTGGGGAACTTTATCACTTTTGCATCACTGTGACCAAATACCTGACAGAAACAATTTAAGGGATGAGGGATTTATTTTGGCTCATGATTTCAAAGAGTTCAGTTCAAGGTCGCTTGACTCTGTGTTCCTGGGCCCATTATGAGGCAGAACATCATGGTAGGAGGAGCATGTGACAGACAGCCTTCTTCCTCTCATTGGGGACAGGAAGCAAAGAAAAAGGGAATATAGGAAGGAGTCAGTAACCTACTTCCTCCAACTAGGCCCCATCTCCTACCTTTCACCACCTCCCAATAATGTCATCATATTATGAATCCATCAAGGGATTGATCCATCCATGGTCAGATCTCTCATGATCTAATCGCCTCTGGAAACACCATCACAGACACCCCTACAGTCTGTGTTTTACTAAACCCCTCAGAATCTCTTAATCCAGACAAAGTGACAATGAAGATTAACCATCACAAGGACTCTTGACTGCCCAGTACTGCCATTTGTTCCAGGCAGTTCCATGCTGTTTATTCAGCCTTTTGGTATTAAGCACTCCTTGCATTATTTGTGCTTCTAGACTTGTGTATTGCTTGTCAGAGAAAATCAGGAGCTATAGGAAACACTATTTTCAATCATGTCCAGTGGAAAAATAATGAAATACCCAAAGTGCTTCTTTCCCTTGCTCTAACAACTGTATCTAAAAATATCATATTTTTATAAGATGGAGACTTCAAGCAGCACAAGAAAAATACCTGAAGCATAATTTGCCTCATTTTTCATTTTGCTAAAGTCTGGCAGAATATCTGTCTTTTCTGACTCTCTTGATGGATTTGGGCATCTTAACAACTCACCCAGTTTTCCTTGTAGGATTATTGATAACCTTTTCTCAACCATCAGCACTCCTCTTCCTGGCTATGAAAGATTCAGGGAAAAAAAAAAGATTTTTAGATTTTTGTGTCCTGAGTGTTTTCATCTTCACATCACCTTTCAAATGAAATGACTTCTGGAAGAAATTACTTGCTATAAGTATATATAAGATTATATGGCAATAGTTGAGAAAATTATCAACCATGTGTGACAGGGAAGCCATGCTAGAACTACAGAATGTTGGGACTGCAATGCTTCTCCAAAAAAGAGAAGTGTGTATATTGAAAGCAAGAGTTCTCTCCTAAAGCAGACCTGAAGGGAAGACTTGAGATCCATCCAACCTCACCTTGATCTCTGCATACCTCAGCTTCCATGAGACTGAAGATACCTTTGTCTAATCTGACTGAGAAGCAGAAAGTACATTTGCACAAATTACAAGCCAAGACCCATAAAAAAAAGAAAAAATTTTTTTTTCATTTTTCTTTTATTATTCATATGTGCATACAAGGCTTGAGTCATTTCTCCCCCCTGCCCCCACCCCCTCCCTTACCACCCACTCCACCCCCTCCCACTCCCCACCTCAATACCCAGCAGAAACTATTTTGCCCTTATCTCTAATTTTGTTGTAGAGAGAGTATAAGCAATAATAGGAAGGAACAAGGGGTTTTGCTGGTTGAGATAAGGATAGCTATACAGGGCATTGACTCACATTGATTTCCTGTGCGTGGGTGTTACCTTCTAGGTTAATTCTTTTTGATCTAACCTTTTCTCTAGTTCCTGGTCCCCTTTTCCTATTGGCCTCAGTTGCTTTAAGGTATCTGCTTTAGTTTCTCTGCATTAAGGGCAACAAATGCTAGCTAGTTTTTTAGGTGTCTTACCTATCCTCACCCCTCCCTTGTGTGCTCTCGCTTTTATCATGTGCTCATAGTCCAATCCCCTTGTTGTATTTGCCCTTGATCTAATGTCCACTTGCAAAAATCCTCAACAAAATAATGGCAAATCGAATTCAGCAACACATCAAAAAGATTATTCACCACGACCAGGTAGGCTTCATCCCAGGGATGCAGGGGTGGTTCAACATACGAAAATCAATAAACGTAATAAACCACATTAACAGAAGCAAAGACAAAAACCACTTGATCATCTCAATAGATGCAGAAAAAGCCTTTGATAAGATCCAACATCATTTCATGATAAAAGCTCTAAGAAAACTAGGAATAGAAGGAAAGTTCCTCAACATTATAAAAGCTATATATGACAAACCTACAGCCAGCATTATACTTAATGGAGAAAAATTAAAACCATTCCCTCTAAAATCAGGAACCAGACAAGGATGCCCACTATCTCCACTCCTATTCAACATAGTACTGGAATTCCTAGCCAGAGCAATTAGGCAAGAAGAAGGAATAAAAGGAATACAAATAGGTAAAGAAACTGTCAAAATATCCCTATTTGCAGATGACATGATCCTATACCTTAAAGACCCAAAAAACTCTACTCAGAAGCTTCTAGACATCATCAATAGCTATAGCAAAGTAGCAGGATATAAAATCAACATAGAAAAATCATTAGCATTTCTATACACTAACAATGAGCAAACGGAAAAAGAATGTATGAAAACAATTCCATTTACAATAGCCTCAAAAAAAATCAAATACCTAGGTGTAAACCTAACAAAAGATGTGAAAGACCTCTACAAGGAAAACTATACACTTCTGAAGAAAGAGATTGAGGAAGACTATAGAAAGTGGAGAGATCGCCCATGCTCATGGATTGGTAGAATCAACATAGTAAAAATGTCGATACTCCCCAAAGTAATCTACATGTTTAATGCAATTCCCATCAAAATTCCAATGACATTCATTAAAGAGATTGAAAAATCTACTGTGAAATTTATATGGAAACACAAGAGGCCACGAATAGCCAAGGCAATACTCAGTCAAAAGAACAATGCAGGAGGTATCACAATACCTGACTTCAAACTATATTACAAAGCAATAACAATAAAAACAGCATGGTACTAGCACAAAAACAGACATGAAGACCAGTGGAAAAAGAAAAATTTTAAATCCTCAGATGCCTAAAGTTAGTGCTCTAACATTTGTTTTGTATCTTCACAGAATTCTCCGAAGCTCTTTTGCCCCAAAAATAGAAGCTTTGACATAGATGCCATCTACAGTGTGATCGATGATGCCAAGCAGTATGTGTACATTGCAGTCATGGACTACTTGCCTATCTCCAGCACAAGCACCAAAAGGTCAGTGAGTTCCTAACATCTAGTTAGACCCAATTCCCAGGCCAGGCACTAAACTGGGGTCTACAGGAGATGGGTACCACAGGCATTGAGATGCTATATGTCATTTAAAAAGAGCACAGTCTTCTGACATGCCTGGTGTGCATTTGCAGTGTGCCCACCATGAGTCTCATCCCCAACTGGGTCCACTTTAAGGGCTCAGGGTCTCACCCTGCAGAGGACCTCAGTAGTTTACGTTATAGGCATGAGAACAATTTCAGAAAGAAGGTTGGGTAGTTCTCACTTTGAAGATTACTTGAAAAAAAAAGTAACATACAAAACAAGATGAAATAAAATAAGGCTGGGGTATAGCTCAGTGGTACAAAACTTGCCTGCCATGTGTGAGACCCTGGATTTGATCCCTAGGGCTTCAAAATAAATCATACGAAATATCATTTGAAAAATTGCTATCTTAAAATTATTAATGGGGATGTATCTGAAGGGTGTGCTGAGTGAAACTGAATGGTCATGACCAGATTTTTCTGAAATGAAGTATCACTTCCTTATATTCATGACACTTTTCATTAAATGCTAAATTCTCAAAAATCTTGTCAACGTAAAGAAGAAGAAAAATTTACGTAGATGTTCCCAATCAGCACAGCCCTTTGTGTGGTAAGGAAAATGTCTTCAAAATGGAATCTTTTTCAATAATTCGTCATTGTTTAAGTGAGCAAGCACTTGGAATAAATGAGGGGTAGAATTTATGACAAACTGTCTGAGATTTGGGTGCTCGTCAGTGTTTTGAATAATTAGTTTAACCCAATAAATGTTGCAAAATGCACATTCCTGGGAGTGCAACCAAAGATCTTCTTGACTTTAAAAATGTCAATTTCAAAATATCCATTTACTGAGGTTAACTGACTACCTGTGCCTTATGTAGCTTGAATATTTGTCATGTTGCCAAGCCCACATATGCAAATGACTGTGAGACTAAAAAAAGAGACCACTCCTGATGACAATGGAAAAGCATTTGAAGCTTCAAGGTGCACATTCTTAAGACATTTCTACTTTAAATTATGGTATAATTTAACATCCATGAATTTTTTTTTCCAATACACTTTCACATCTTTTCAATTCCTGTGTTTTGTTTCTCCCACTTGCCATTGATTTTATTTTATATTTAGTTTTAGACTGCAGCTTCACTTTGGGAAGATGTTGAAAGCTAACTGATTTTGTCCAATTTTCCTGTCATTGAGAAGGAGAATGGTCAAGTTCGTGGAATTAAATGCTGGAATAAGAAGACGATTGCTAGGGATTAATAAAACTTTGTTTCACAAATTCCTGTGAACAAAATTGAAATCTTTCATGGTTAAGGGGGAAAGAATTAATATGAAGTATCTAAAACATCTTAGAAATATGAAAGAGGAAAATAAAAGAATGCTAAAAATCTAGAGACTCCTGAAATTTTACATTTTTATTATTAATCTATCATTTTAGCTATTATTCAAAGAATATACTTATTGTATTTTTAAAATTTCAAATCTATACTTTTAGCTTTCTAAACAAATGGTCTTCAAACAGAAATAAATAACTCAAACTTCCAGGTTATAATTAAATTCTTCTCAATCATATAAATGATTTTTTTGGCAGGACTGGAGTTTGAACTCAGGACCTCATCATTGCAAAGCAGGCACTTTACTGCTTGAGCCACACCTCCAATCCATTTTATTGTGGCTATTTTGGAAGAGGATCTTGGTGAACTTTTGCCCAGGCTGGCCTCAAACCATATTCCCCAATCTCAGTCTCCTATGTAGCTGTGATTACAAGCATGAGCCACCAGTACTTGGTTGAATTTTTTTTTAAGTCAAACTGGTTACTCATAGTCTTTGGAAGTTTTTCAACTTTAATGAACAAGTGAACAAATTTCATTCTGTTCATACAATTAACTAATATCTTACAGACTTAACTTTTAATCTACACACTGCCAAATATCCAAATGAAAAAGGAAAAAGTCAAAAATCAGAAATGATTGTCAGCCTGTAAAAAATACCCCATCATTTAGTGATTGTGTTAAAGTTTGTACTTTCTAGGAAGTTAATGAAATATAATGTGTGACCAAATAAATCCTACAATAAAATACCAGAAGCCCAGCCGGGCATAGAGTGATAGAGTGCTTGCCTAGCATGTACTGGGGTCGATCACCAGCACTGCAAGAAATAAATAAATACATACATACATAAATACACACATAAATATATACATACATACATGCACACTACAACAAACATAATACATAAATATCAGAAGCTCAATTTCGCCTGTTTTCCTGGTATAGTAAGCAATAAATAAATACATCATAACAAATACAACACATTAAATATAGTACATACATACATGCAACACATACACTACAAACATAAATACATAATATCAGAAGCTCATTTCGCCTGTTCCTGGTAGTAGTAAAGCAGGTTCCCTTTTCTTTACCGGAATAATCTTAATCACTGAAGGTCTCATTTTGGAAGTTGTCCATGGTTTTTTACCCTCTTCAGTCATGTGAAATACCTTCTTTTCAGAAGGAAGAGGGTAAATGTCTGATGGAACTAAATAAAAAATGTCAGCTGGTTAGTCTTTGAGGTTCATACAGTATTCCCTTCCTGCAGGTTTTAGTTACCCCACTGATCAAAATTGCAGTCTGAAAAATATTTAAATAAGAAAGTTCCAAAAATAAATAACTTGTAAATTTGAAATAACTTCCATGATGGTATATTGATGTAATTGTTCCTTTTTATTAGTTTATTACTAATCTCTGTGCCTAATTTAATAAATTAACTTTTAAGTATTGGCCGGTATGTATATATAGGAAAAAACAATATATAGTATTCAGTACTATCCTGCAATATTTTCAGGTGCCCACTGAGGTTATCAGAAAATGTTTCACCCATGGATAATGGAAGAGTACTGTGTTATATCTTTCATTTATGCATTCAATTCCATAAAAACTATTGAGCATTTAACAATACTTATTTTAACACTTGTGGATTAAAGCATGAGCTGCAATGTGGTCCTGGAGCCCCTCTAAAAGGGAGACAGAAGGGACCAGATAGATTATTAGACCCTAGGGGTGTGGGTAGAGTGAAACAGTAACATATAAGAATATTATAGCAAAAGGATGGAGTTCCAGGGTTAGAAGGAACCTCATTGGAGGAAATTCTTTTTTCTTTTTTGGAGGAAATTTCTTAACCTGAATATTTCAAAACATTCCATCAAATTTGCCAGAAAAGACCTGAGAAAAGGGAATTATCCAGGGAAAAAGGCAACAGTGTGAGCAAAGTTTCAGGTGGAGAAAGAAAGAAAAGCCTGGGGAATTCAGTTCCAGTATCCATAGAGGCCACAGTTAAGGGGTGAGAGGTCAAATTGGAAAAGGAGGTAGGGATCAGGAACCGGGGCCTGACTTTGCCTGGGGAGCTTTTTGTGACCTTGAGAACCTCCATTGGTGTTTCATCAATGGGGTAATAACATCATCACATCTGCTTCTATTTATTTTGTTTTTTTTTCCTGGCAGTACTGGGGTTTGAACTTCAGGACCTTGAGCTTGCTATGCGGGTGCTCTACCAACTTAAGCTTTGCCCTCCATGCCCAATTTCAATGGATTCACTTTGGTGGTCATGGAGGATGCCCATTTGCCAGAGATAAGAGCAGAGGTAGGGGGACAGGTCTGTAATCTCAGCTACTCCAGAAAGGCAGAAGGCCAGCCCCAGGCAAAAGCACAAGACCGCTATCTGAAAAACAAACAAAGCAAAAAGGGCCTAAGGGTATTTAGAGGCAACTTGCCTGGCTAGCAAGCAGGCATTGAATCAAATCCCCACCCAGTACCAATAAGGAAAAAAAAAAAAGCAGAAACCATCAGGAGTAATTTGGAGGGCAGAAGCCTGCGTGATTTTCCAGTAGTCCTCAGTTTGTAGGTATAGAAATAGTCAAGAGTAATTATAGCACTAAGCCACGATTTTAGATTTGTTTGGAATGAAGAGGAAGGTAGGGGGCAAGTGCCCTGTGGATAAGCAGAGCAGAACTAAGAATTAGGGCATGAGCAAGGCAAAAGAGAACCGGAGGAGTTGAAAGGCCAGGGAACATTTGGAGGGATCACAAAAGTCTGCAGCCCCATCCCGAGCCCTTCTTAACAATGAGATTAAGTGATCCCTTCCTGAAGTGAATGTGGTGTCATTGGGGGGTTGTTGCTGGTAGAGCGGAGGCTGCTGACCGGGTTTCCTTTAAACCAAGGGGGCCAAAATGCTAGAAAATGCTTGACAAGACTTGAGGAGAAAGCTGTTGGCCTTCAGGAAAATACCAGAATAGTTAAGAATAGGGGAATGAGGATTAGGAAAGAGGAAACCGTTGGCTTGAGGGAGGATTCCAAAGGCCTAGCCTGAAGGTAAGAGGTAGGGGGGCTTGTAGGAGGGCTTGATCCAGAGGCATGATGCTGAGGACAGAGCAGAAGTTCAGTTGGGGGTGGTTACCCAAAGAGGAGAGGTTAAAAGTGGCAATTTGGGCACAGACAGGGTGCTTAAGCCCTCCTAAACTGGAATTCTTTTGGAAAGTGGACTCAGTCCCACATCGAGGTCCAGGTAGTGTTGGACGTGAGATGAGGGGTCTATGAATGGGAAGTCACTGTCAGCACTCTAGTCCCCTCACACAGCCTGGACCTGAAGGCAAAGAGACCTCTAACAGGGCAGGAAGCAGGTACCAGGAAAGCCTTGGTCTCTTTGTGCGCCTAATCTAAAAGACTTGCATTTCTTCAATTGTAACCTACAAGGCTGTTTGTATTTGCGAATAAAGTAATGAGCAGAGTAAGAAAAGAATGTTCTCTGTCATCTAGTGAATTTATTTACTCAATACTATTTTTTATTTGTAATGTATATGGACAATACTTCTGCAGGAGCTTACTGGCCAGCACTTGGATGGGAAAAATAAGAGAAAGCATTAGTTTTGGCGAGCGTTTAAAAGTTCGACTACTTATAAGCTTCTGGAAGGAAACTGACCCCCTCACGTTTAACTTCATTTCAATCCTTAAAAAGCTATTTGCAACTGAAATAGGCCAACTGCAGTTGAAAAGTTGTAAGTATTGCATTGACCCTGTGTATAAATAAGAAGTGCTTATTCCCTTTATATGTCAAAAAGCTATCAGCATACTCTTCCATGGTGAACTTCTGATAAGAACCAGATAACTTTGGTAAGTAAAAATACTTCAAAAGGCAGGTTATTCTTCAAAAAACTGTCCACACCACAAAACAAAAAAGTCCAACCCCAGTTTTTCCTTGGTCCAGCCCCCTTCAAAATTGTACATTCTTACAGCACCTTTACGCATTTTGTTTGAACTGTTTCTTTCGCCCACTTAGTCTTACTTGTAATGCTGTGACCAGTGGTACATTGGGAACATGCACCAGCACAGACTCCTTAGTCCTAGCCTGGGATTCTTGTGCTTGCCTAGGTTCGCCTTGGGCCACACACTAATCTGTCTCTGAATACTGTGAGAAAAGGCAGATGAAGAATTGGTGACACCCTGAAGAAGTGGCTCATCTGTAGTCATCTTCTTCTTCTGTCAAGGCCATTACATGCTCTGTGCCTCTGTTTCCATGCTCTCATCCTTCATCTTCACTGATGACTGACTAACCTTTTAAGGTCTCAGCTTTTCCCAAAGCCCCTATGTATTCAACAAAATGTGTGCTGAGACTGTACTCTGTGGAGCCCACTCTTCTAGATGATGGAGCTTGTTCTTTGGTATGCACTCAGAGACAAAGTGCTCTGCAATATCAGTTTTGATGCATGGCTTTTCAGGATTACCTGACCCTTAAATATCCCAAGGTCCAACAGAAGAGAGTGGGCGACCAATCCCTTCAATCTATCCTACAGCCCAGACATCATTCAGTGGATTTGACACGCAAAAGGCCAAGAGAGGGCGTTGAGCATGTCAGAAGGGTAGATCTGTCCCCAGGTGAGGGGAATGATGAACAAAAAGAGCAGGTTTTGTGGATCATCAATGGTCTGAAGTTCTGGAAAACCCTCTCCATTTTACTCCATTCCACATAAAGAACCCCTTGACTTCCACTTAAATAGGGAGAAAATGGCTATGGGCTGTATAGCAATTTTCCACAGATCTCTATTTTTCCTGGTTTTTGTAAACTGAGCACCATAGCCATGTTTAATGTACGTTCACAATCCCTGGTAAGTAAAACTGGAAATACTAAAACCCAATCTTGTGGTTACTATGCCTCATCTCTCTTCCAGGTTGATTTTGCAAAATAAATGAAATAATCTAAGAGTTGGATTAGGGCACCAAACCTGAATTTAGAATTGAAATTCTTGGGGGATCAAAAGAAATTGGTACAGTAAAGCCAGAAAGAGACCTGAAAGAAGAAAAGAGAGCCTCAGTTGTGTTTAAATGCCTTTTCAACAACAGGAGAACACTTGGATTAATTTTGCTCAGCAACTACTTGTCTAAATAATTGAAGAAGGCATTCAAGTCTTGGGGAGGGGGTGGGGGGGGTCGGAATCAAGAAGGCAAAGACCCAGGTGTCCTAGCTCACCACTGTTCCAAGTGCCTAATATGACACCTGGCAGAGTGTTCACAACAACCTGTACTGAGTTGGAGTGGAACTCAGGAACTAATACAGTCAAAAGACAGAAGTCAGGAAAGGCTAGTGGTAAGTTCTACCAACATGAAGGGAGGAAGCAGAGCCCAGAAGCACCCAAGTTCCAAGGCCTGGGACTACTTTGCCAAGAAACTAGAAGTGCCGCCCAGAGACGTCATGAACTCTGGAGGTGGGGTGTGTGTAAGTCAGAGGAGCAGGAGCTTCTGGCCAAAGTGTGGAATATTTGCTCCCATCTTTTCTCTCAATGTCACTTCACAAATCAGGGGTCCCTCCCCCCCACCCAGTTCGCTGACCCCACAGTACACCTCCCTCTAAGGCCCCTGCAGTTAATCTCAGCAGGTGTTAAGTTCCCTTAATCGGAAGACTTGGAGTATTGGCAAGGAAAGTATATCCTCACCATCATAAGCTCTACATACTCTTTTGCCTCTGTGAACACATGATTGTGATGGTTCTTGAATAAACAAACGTTTAATAGCTCACTGCTGGCTAACTTTTTAAAACAGAGGCCATGCATTTCTAAGCGTCAAGACAAGCTGATGTGGGACGGAAAGCTTATTGACTGAACATCCAGAGCCGATGACTAGTGAGCTCTTCCAAGACAAGTGGGCAATTGGAAAACCTTGTGCAGCCTTCAGGAGCCTGTGGTGCTGACAGGCAGATCCAGGCAGTTGGGCAGTAGCACTCTGTCTGTGTAGGAGTGGGGCGTTCTCAATCCCTACCCTGACAATCAAGTTTGTGTCCTCAAGGAGATCATGGAAAGAGTTGTAGCTCATGAGACTGTCACACTTCAATTGATCTTTGGATTTTAATAAGAGTAACCAATCATTTTTTGAAATGTCCTTTGCTGTCCGCTTCAATATATTAGGTTATCTAAAGGATATACGATGAATAAGATTTCCTGCTGTCACGTGAGTCTCCCAGATTGAAGCTGTCTCTCCTTTTCAGGGTTATCAATGGACTTTTCTAGAGTAAATGGTTCTCAACTAAAAACCATCAAAGCTGGGACTCTATCCTTGACTTAACTTAGGATGCATAATTTTTTTAATTTTTCCTTTTTTCAAAAAATCCTTTTTAATCTTGGTCTCTAAAAATATCTCTCTCAGAAGGGAAACAGTCCAATGACATGTTGTGGACATGTTATGACAAAATGTCCAGTGAGATCATGCTGCTATTATTGAGTTGATGATACCCTACATAGTCATGTGACTTCGTTGATTACACAACTATGCTTCTAAGAGCATTTATAGGTTTTTGAGTCAGTTTGAACATTTCAACAAATCTGCACAGATTTTGCAGAAGACAGGGAAGAAGATAAACCAGGGAAGCACAATCCATAACCATGGTTGATCTGGCCCTGGGAGAATATTTCTCAGGGCTGTGGAAGAGCAGGTTTTGGGGTAGTAGACCTTGGTTTGATTTGCAACACAAAAATCTCACGGGTTTTACAAAACTCAGAATTGAATTTTCCAGGACTGGAAGGGACCTTGTGATACATGCAAGGTCAGAGCATAGGGGAACAATTAACCCTCATTCTTGCCCCCAACCAAATTTGAACACTTGGAATTTTGACACTTAAATGATGTCTCTTTTTCTACTATCTTCACTTTTCCTCTCTAATCTCTTCTTTCGCTTACAAAACACATAAGTTCCAATAGTGTTAAGACAGACTAGAAAGAATCCCATGCAGTTCTGGAAAATGTTTTCGCCAATGAAGGAGACACTGAGACCCGCCTCACCTTTGATGGGTGTTTCCTTGTGAGCTAAGTTCTTCTCTGAGTCCCCCTGAGTACAGTCACAGTTGAAGCCCTCATCCACCAATTTTTTCCAAATTCGACATTGTGGGGCCTCAGGCCTGATCATTACTGCTTGTTAAGCTACCATCTCCTAAGTTCCTCATCTTTGAGGCCTTAGTTGAACAGGAATTGCTGATTTGGGGGCCATATTAAAAGTTGAAAAGTCAAGATTCTTTGGTTGGTGATGGGGGACCTAATAGTCATGATTTGATTCAATTTCAAACCATCAATTGTGTTACTTTTCTTTTCTTGAGTTACCTGGTTTAAAAGGAGCTTGTAGACAGGTGTTTAGAAGGAAAATATTTGCTTCTGTGGCAAAATATTCTTTTGACCTTGTGTGAATTCCCAGTTGAATGAGTTAGTCATGTGACAATAATGTGTGTGCTTTGGTGAAAATTAATCCATTCAGCGCTTTGTTGGCATGCTTCACAGAGCCACCTTGAGCAGTATGGATGCCAGTGTACTCTGCTAAATAAGACAAGGAGAATAAAAGCAACCTCTGGCTCTCACCTTCTTGAAAAGAATGGATTTTGTGTTCATGAATTCTGTAGCTTAAAAGTATTAATTTATAGAGCTAGCTGCTAATTTTCTTCTGGTTGCCTTATCTAGATTTGAGAATAAAAAATAGCTTCCTCTATACAAGTAACAGAGTACAAGTTTTAAACCAATATGTGGTCCATTGTTTGATATTTGTATAATACACTCTTTTATGCTCTAACAAAACCAAAAACATTCTCAAATTCAACCTACTTTTTTTTTCTTTTTGTCTACAGAAATTTTTTGATCTGGAAAGAGAAAGAATGCTTGTGCAACCAAAAGAACAAAGAATCACCACCTTTCCCTAAATTAAATCGCAACAAAGTACATGGTGACAGATGGAGCAAGCCTATATTGGTAGGTGTCAGGGCTGAAAAGCTCCTCAGGGGTCACCAAGGCAGTGGGAGTGTGCTCCTCAGAAGCCCAGCTGGTGACAGGGCAAATCTGGTGGTTTAGGAAAGACAGGAAGGGCAAGGCAAAGAGCTGTACAGCAGAAAGTCTCCTCTGTGGCCTGAGTCACATTGCTAAGGAGAAATTATGCTTTGAGGATTCCTTTTCATTCCAGGTTCTGCAGACACTCTCTGGTCCACTTGCCTCATTTTTATAGGTGAGGGAACAAATGGCTCTTTCAGAGGTGAGGCCAAGCAGCTCAATGAACTCAGTGTTCGTTCTCCTGCGCACAGTACCACAGTACGCCTGTTCGTGGGTCACGGGGCGTTGTTGGAGTCCATTCAGGGGCCAGAACTGAGCCAGCAGTGTCATGACATTTTCTAAATGTCTAACCTCTGGACGAGTTGACTCAAGCTCTCGTTGTCTCATAAAAAAAGCCCTGGTGACAGTTTCCACTTCATTGAGTGAAAGTTTAAAATGACCATAATACACACAAGTCCCTTACATATGGATAAACCCAATTAATTGTTAGTTATTATTATGAAAGGCATAAATTAGCAGATACCAAAATCATTATATTGTTAGAATTGTTTCTTTGATGCATCAAAATCTAATTCTGACTTCCATGGTAATGTATGTGTCCAGGTACCCCTTCCTGGACCCAATGGAATCCCATACTCAATTGTTAACAAATTTTCCAGTAAAAAATACACCATCTTTAACTTTGTGAAGCAACTTTATCTTATTTCAAATCTCCTTAGAATAATCACCAGTAATGGGGGGGCAGTGTCCTGTCATCTAAGAAGTGAGGACACGTGAGCTGTAAGATGAAGTGACTCAGTCACACAAGTGTTGGGGAGGTGCTGTGTCTTCCAAGCCAGACAGTCTCCCAACGAGCCACTAAGCAGACCTTCCAGCCCAGCTCAGTGAGAAAAATGATCTGGTCTTTTTTCTAATGGTTTAGTAGTTTTAGCATCACTTTATAAATAGAGTACTAAAATATTTTTAAATGTGTATCAATTCCTGATTTGTTCTGGGATTATGACCCGTATTATTTGTTTCTCTAGTCCCTTTTAAGGAAATTTAGTATGTGATTATTTGGATTTCCTCCTGTTTGTTCATTTATGGGGAACTAGAAATGGAAATCAAGCTTCTTTTCAGCAGGGACAAAAAACCAAACTTCCAACTTGGCTTTATTCAAAACAAGGAAACTTTTGTTTCAATTATCCAGAAATCCAAGGATGGATCAAGTCTTTGACAGAAAGTGGTTTTCAAGGACCCAAGTCTAGACATTGTGCAGTTTGTTTAAAGTAAGATGTTGTGGTACATTCAGTAGTAACTTAAACGCAGAGGAGAACAAAGCTAGGATGCAGACCCAGACCTGTTGGTAATTTATAAGCTAATTTTTGCCAAGTCTTTAAAATGGCCTCATGCAGATAACCTGTATTTGAATTCCAGCACTGACAAGCAGAAGATAGTAGATCATGTAATCTCTTGTAAACCTCTGTCTTCTCATCTGTGAAATTGGGATATATAACACCCAACCGCTTTGGTGTAGTCTAAGGATTAAATGAGATAGAGGTATGAATCATTCCTAATACTGTCTCTGATCTGTCTAGATCCTTAGTAAATATTGATTCCCTTGTCTTCTACAACATTTCAAGTTATTTCATTTTTTTATATGTAACATGCTAGCAAAAACTCAATTCCTAGAATGAAGCATAGATCTTAGTATAATAACATTCAAAGAACATTAAGAAGAGAAATTCATTGATAAGTTAAAAATTATCAGCATTTCTGGACTCCTCTTAGTTATCACTCAAGATGCCTTGGTGAGAAAATGTAGAATTAAGAAAAAAGCCACAATCATGGCTGTCATAGAAATTCTAACTCCGTTTGGTTTTCACAAGAATCTTCTTAGGGATCCCCAAACAGTGGTTCAACCCTCTAAATTTTGATTCTCCAGAGATGTTTTGATTTAGAGCTCTGCCAAACTTGTCTGGAAGATGTTGTAAGTTAATGGGGCTACAAGGGACAGCAGGTTATTGAAGGCACTGGAAATGGCAGTTTCAAAAAAGTCTGTGAAAAGCACATTCTAAGTTTTAAGAAAATCCTGATAAGAGGGCTCCAGGTGGGAAAGGGAGTTGATTGTTTGGGGGGCTCCAGGGGCTGAGGAGGGGTTCAAAAGCCTGAAACTACAAAGGAACAGATTCCGGCTTTGCCTCCCAGAAGATTTTCCACCGGATGGTTGCAGGGCTTTAGAATCAGTGTCCTATTCAGTAAATACGTGTTGTTGGTGGCCCCTGCAGTAGACCTGACTTGTCAACAGAGGGACTAGAAGAAATCCAGCCTTCAAAGGCTTCCAGTTCTCTTTTGCAGATAACAATTCTTAACCAAAGAGGAGAACAAAACCCAGCTCAGATAAGACATGGACGCATTTGGTAATTTATAAAGCGCAACTTGTGTCTGTCCTGATATGGCAACTCAATATTTCAAGCGAGAATAATTCTTGGTTGGGGAAATGTTTGTAGATAGCTCACAATAGTTTGGAGACCTGGGTACACCATTGGTTAAGCCATGAGACTAGGGCAAATTTTATTTTACCTCTTTGGAGCCTGCTTCCACTCCTCATCTCTAAAAGTGAAAGTAGATCCTACGCAATCACATGAAATAATGTATTAAATATAAGTATACCAGCTTTGCTTCACAGTAAGGCACTTAATAATTGAATAGCTCATCTACCCTCAAGCCTCCTTTGCTCCCTGGCTCAACCCAGTTCTTCCCCTTAATGTTTCCCAGCCACTCCTCTGTCCACAAGATTTTCTTCCTCCTGTTTAGGGTCTGGCTTTTCTCTGTGTTTCTTAACCAAAGAGAAGAACAAAACCCAGCTCAGATAAACATACCAGTGTAATTTATTAAACCAACTTGTGTCTTCCTATAATGACCTCAAATTTTCAGCGAGAATAATTCTTGTGGGAGTTTAGACTAGCTCACCCAAATTGTGGAGACCTGGGGACACCATTGGTTAGCCATAACATAGCAAATTTATTTACCTTTTACCTTGCCTTCCAACTCCTCATCTCTAAAGTGAAGTAGATCCTACCAATCACATGAAGTAATGTATAATAAATATAAGGTATACAGCTTTGCTCACAGTAGCCTAAAAATTGATAGCTCATCACCCCAGCCTCTTTGCTCCCTGCCTCAACCCCAGTCTCCCTTAAGTTCCAGCACTCTCTGCACAAGATTTCTTCCTCCGTTAGGTTCTGGTCTCTCGTCCCAAGTAAATTTCAATGCATCCTCTACTTACTCAATGATGTTCTTTTCATGACACCTCTAGTCAGAGTTAGAAATTTCCTTTTCTCCTGTCTCATGAATTGGTGCATGGTCTCATGGACTTCATGATACTTTTTATTAGAATTTAATTATTGTGTTTCTCCCCGGACTCTTGAGCAAGCCATTTTCAGTTTTATACTTTACACTAGTTACATTAGTTCGCTCAATGAGCATGCAATAAATGAAGGACAAACGATCAAGGCAAAAAATGGTTCCCTGTGCCCTCGGAGAAGAAAGCTTTGTTTTTCTGGAAAAACTTGTCTTCATTGATACCAAAGACAAGAATTTCTGGCTGAGTTTTTGTATTGCCCAGGCCCTTTTATCCACCCACACCTGAAGGTGGACTTACACATGAATTAGCATATTCATGATTAGCTCTTCTGGACATATCCCAGCTTACTACTGGTATGAGTTGAATTGTTTCCCCTCGAAGTTCATATTGAGTCCTAACCCACAGTATCATACAATGTGAGCTTCTTTTTTTTTTTTTTTAATATATGTTATTTTTATTAAGATATGTTTTGACAGTCATGTGCTTGAACACAGGGACTTTACTTTCTTAGCCACCCTTCTAACATTCAAATCAGACTCCTAGCTCTTTAGTGCTATTTATTTTTTTATTTTTTTTTTTTCATTTTTCTTTTATTATTCATATGTGCATACAAGCTTGGGTCATTTCTCCCCCTGCCCCCCCCCTCCCTTACCACCCACTCCACCCCCCCCTGCTCCCCCCCTCAATACCAGCAGAAACTATTTTGCCCTTATTTCTAATTTTTTTGTAGAGAGAGTATAAGCAATAATAGGAAGGAACAAGGGTTTTGCTGGTTGAGATAAGGATAGCTATACAGGGCATTGACTCACATTGATTTCCTGTGCGTGGGTGTTACCTTCTAGGTTAATTCTTTTTGATCTAACCTTTTCTCTAGTCCTGTTCCCCTTTTCCTATTGGCCTCAGTTGCTTTAAGGTATCTGCTTTAGTTTCTCTGCATTAAGGGCAACAAATGCTAGCTAGTTTTTAGGTGTCTTACCTATCCTCACCCCTCCCTTGTGTGCTGCTTTTATCATGTGCTCATAGTCCAATCCCCTTGTTGTGTTTGCCCTTGATCTAATGTCCACATATGAGGAGAACATACGATTTTTTTTTTGAGCCAGGCTAACCTCACTCAGAATGATGTTCTCCAATTCCATCCATTTACCAGCGAATGATAACATTTCGTTCTTCTTCATGGCTGCATAAAATTCCATTGTGTATAGATACCACATTTTCTTAATCCATTCGTCAGTGTGGGCATCTTGGCTGTTTCCATAACTTGGCTATTGTGAATAGTGCCGCAATAAACATGGATGTGCAGGTGCCTCTGGAGTAACAGTCTTTTGGGTATATCCCAAGAGTGGTATTGCTGGATCAAATGGTAGATCGATGTCCAGCTTTTTAAGTAGCCTCCAAATTTTTTCCAGAGTGGTTGTACTAGTCTACATTCCCACCAACAGTTAAGGGTTCCTTTTCCCGCGATCCTCGCCAACACCTGTTGTTGGTGTTGCTGATGATGGCTATTCTAACAGGGGTGAGGTGGAATCTTAGTGTGGTTTTAATTTGCATTTCCTTTATTGCTAGAGATGGTGAGCATTTT